CAAACTATGTGGGAGGGTTGATTTGTTTAGCTATATTTGTCTCATATATGCCTCCTAGTTCCTGTTTCCATTAGCATGTGTTATGACTGAGACGATACTGAGAAAGTGAAGTGCATGTGTTTTTTCTGGCAAATTGATAGGCAACGTATAATATGATATGATATAATGTGTGTGTGTGTATATATAATAATATAATAACAAATACTATTATGTTTTTAATTGCCTGAACTTGTTTCTTTTTCTGCTTTTGTCACAGGGCCACCCATCAGGGAAGCTTCCTAATATGTCTGAGAAGGTAAACTCCAGCAGTTCTCCACCCACAGGCACCCCAAAATCCCAAAGTGGAACTCCGCGGCCTGCCTCTGCAGGAGTTGGAGGCCCATTGCATCCTGCAGGCACGCCGTCATCAGCAGGACACTCAGATAATGAATCCTCTCAGACCAGATCCGGAGGAGCCTCCAGCAATAATAGCATTGTTGCCCATAGGTCAGAGGGAGGGAGCACAACCACACCTGCAGGCCCAGTCCCAGGAACTGGAGATGGGGAAGGTGCAGGGGGTATGCCTCTTCCTGTTGCTACTGTTTCCCCCTCAGAGAGTCCCTCCATTTTATCTGCACACCTACAGAGTGATATAGGCCAGAGGAGTGGCCCAGGGAACACAGACGGTCTTTCCAAAGAGCAGCTGGAACATAGGGAGCGCTCTTTGCAGACGCTGAGAGACATAGAGAGACTGCTTCTGCGCAGCGGGGCAAGTGGAGGCCCTGGAGATACAGGAGGATCCAACAACAATGCTACTAATAACTCCTCCAACCTAAATAACAACAACAATAGTGATAGGAGTGGTATTCTTGAAGACAGTGACAATGGTACTAATAACTCTGGAAACTGCACTAGCAGCAATGTGCTATCATCAGCCTTGGCTCCAATGGGTGGTATGAAGAAATATGAAGAACCCCTCCAGTCCATCATTTCTCAAACACAGTCCCTTGGGGGACCTTCCCTTGACAGCCCTCAAATGGACTCTCACCATAACCTACCACAACACCCCCATCACCAGCTGTCTTCACCTGGGGTCAACATGGGTCCCTTACATGGACCAGAAGGGCTAACCCCAGAGCAAATGGCGTGGAGGAAACTTAAAGAAGAATACTACCAAGAGAAGAGACGGCAACAGGAAATGCAACCCCCCACACATCCCCAGCACTTTAGGATGGTGAATGAGATGGGCATACATGGAGGTCCCATGATGATGAGAGGACCCCCTCCTCCCTACCACAGCAAGCCTGGAGACCAGCAGTGGGGTCCTGGCAATATGATGGGAGGAGGAATGGGTGGAAATGTACGAATGATAGACATGCACCAAGAGGGACCCCGTGGTCCAAGGTTCCTGGGACAGATGCAGAGAGGGCCACCTGGAGGAGGAGGGTTTCCTGGTAGTCCAGGGGGAATTTTATCAATGGAGGGTCTAGGGCCCCAAAGGCCCACCAGACCAGGGATGATATGGCTGGATGATATTGGTGGCGGAGGTCCTTTCCATGGCTGTTACCCCGGTGGACCTCCTCAGCACTTACAGGGTGACCCAGAGCATCTGTTAACACGTGAGGAAATGTTTCGTATCATGGAGAAACAGCAGATGCAGGGGCTTCCCAGGTTTGAACTTGACAGATTAGCAAAACAGCAGCAACAGGACAATCTGAGCTCAAGAATTATGGATAATCCTGGGGGGCCAGACTTTTCTAATTTGGGAATGGGCCGGGGCCCACCCTCCACTCGAGGTGATCCTATGGACTTTCCCAGCTCACGGGAAATTATGGGCTCTCCTGGAGGGGGTCCTCAGATGAGAGACTTGGTAGATTCTCCTCTGGGGAGCAACCTCACAATGAACATGAACCCACAGATGAATGTTCAGCAACAACAGCAGATGATGTTATCTCAGAAGCTCCGAGGGGGTTCTGCAGGAGGGGGACCTTTAGGTGAGATGTTTAGCCCTGGAGAGATTTCACGAATCAGGGCTTCACAGAATGGAAGAGGGGGACATAAAGTAATGATCCCAGGACATGATGGCCCCTTTCAGTTTCCCAATCAAGGTCCCTTCTCTGGAGGACAGGTGGAAGGGCCCTATCTTCAACAACCTGGCCCTGCAATGTTTGGGCCTGATCAGCAAGGTCCTAATCAAATGGGAGGTACATCGCGGCTTAGTCACATGCCGATGACTGGAGGCCTCAGGGGAGCAGACCTCGGTCCTAGGCACTCCTCTGACCTATCAATCAATGTTAACCCTTTGACCTCTCCTTCAGTGCCTCCTCCTCATCAACTCAAGTCACCATCCCTCAACCAAGAGCCATCTCCTCTTCTACCTTCCCCCTCCGCTCCAGGACTGAAGTCACCCTCACAGATCTCCTCCGCAGGGCATCACCCCCCTCTTCCCCCTGCGTCTGGTGCTGGGACTCCTTCCTCTTCTTCCATGAAGTCTCCCCAGGTAATGGGGTCTTCGAACCTTGGGTTGCACTCTCCATCTGCCTCTCCTGGACGACTGAAGTCCCCAGTCATGGCTGTGGGCTCTCCAGGGTGGACGTCTCCTAAAACAGCTCTTCCAAGTCCAGGTGGTCCAGCCAGTGGGAAAGTAGTGGGCAATGGAGGAAGTAGTTCCACTGAGACAGGTACACTCGGAATCCAGTAAAATCACACTTCAGAGATCCTAGCATTGGTATCTCTGATGTTTGATCATCATTAATGATGTTCCACATATTACTGTGACATTAATAATTTTTTATTTTCTTTGCAGGCCAATCACTTCCCCCCAGGAGCTCCAACTCTACTCCCATTAGCCAGCCAGGCTCCATGAATCCTAGCATGCCATTTACTTCTTCTCCCGATGCCCCTCCAACTCAAAATCCTTTATCCCTTATCATGTCTCAGATGTCCAAGTATGCCATGCCCAGTTCTACTCCTCTCTACCATGATGCAATCAAAACAATTGCCACTTCCGATGATGAGATGCTGCCTGATCGACCTCTTCTATCTGGTGTTAGCATTGGAGGTATGAAAATAAGGGCATATTGTTACATAGACATGAAACTCCTCATAGTTTGGCAGTATGCAGAGAGGATGCAGTAGAATGGCTCTGGTTCAGTAGATATTTCCATGCCATCAGAGAAAGACTGAGTGAATGACGTGTTAACTCTTAGACATGTGTTGTTTTGCTATAAAAAGTAGTGCAGTTTGATAATATGAAGACATTCAGTTAATATTTCATAAGTCTAATGGGTTGAGAACTGGGGCTGTCTATTATGTCTATTAAATGTTAATGTGATGTTAGTGCGATTTTTTTTTCACATGCTGGCCTTGTTTTATCACCAGGAAACATGGGGAACCCCCAAACCTCCCAGTTATTAGTCTCCCAAGGCTCCATTGGTCCTCACAGTGATCCACAAAGCCCCATGGGTATTGTAAGCCAAGCTCAGCAGCACCTGTCACATGACGCCTCAGGACCTGTGCTTTCTTCCCCAAACCAAATGGGCATACCTGCCATGAATTCTGCCATGATGGGGGGAGGCGCACCTGACGGAATGGGGCCCTGCAATGTTTCACCCATGTCTCAGAACCAGATGGCAGGTTTTCCTCGCATGCAGCCACCATCTCATGGACCCATGCACTCACCTATTGGAGGAATGTCACAGAATTTCTCTCAGGCTAATGAAGATATTCTACCACCCCAGCACATACACCTGCTTAGCAAAGGTCATCCTCACCAACGCCCCCCTCACCCCTCAGACTCATTTGCCTCTCTGCCCATGGGGGAAGGCCCGGATCTTAGTGAAGTCATACGACCCACTCATACGGGGATCCCTGAATTTGATCTCTCCCGCATCATTCCTTCTGATAAGCCCAGTAGCACTCTTCAGTATTTCCCCAAGAGTGAGCCGCATCAGAATCCACACCAGGGGCCACCATCCCAGCAACCTACTCCACAGCAGCTCCTCAAACAGCTGTCTTCTTCTGGCCCCCCACACAACAGCGGTCCTTCATCCAACCCCCACTTAGCAAACCTACAGAATATGATGGATGAACAGCAGCTGCCACCTCACCCCTCACATGGAGGGATACGCCAAAGTATAGGCATTCCTCAGGGGGGCTCGAGGGGTATGGTTTCTGGTGGGGGCATGGGCCCTATGTGCCCCCCTGGACATATGATGGGAAGGACAGGCATGGTACCCCAGCAGCAACTCCAGCAACAACAAGCCATGATGGCCAACAGCCTTCTCCACCATCCTTCCAACCCATATCCTGGCATGATGCCCTCCCAGCAGCATCCACACAATCTGATGGCACAGCAAAACATTATGATGATGCAGGCTAAGCAGCGAAGCATGTCAATTCCAGGGGATCCCTTTGGCCCCCAGGGTCCTCTAATGTCCCCTCAGGGTCCCATAATGGGCCCCCCCCACCCACAGTCTGGTATGATGGGCCCTCAGTCTCTCAGACAGCGGGGAATGTCTCTGGACAGTCCCATTGGCTATGGCCCTGGAGGCATGGCCAATATGCCATTCTGACCCAGCTCACATAAACTGTAAAAAAAAAAAAAAATAATGGAAAAAAAATATGTCCACTAGGTTAACTTCCCATTGTGTCCAATTTTTTTCATTAATGTTATTCTTGCGGTTGTTTCAAAAGAGGAATGTAAAAACAATATATCAGTGATAATCTTAAAATTTTAGATTACAGCTGATTTAAAAAAAAATATTATTTAAAAGCACTGTATCATGGTTCAATAACAAATCTGAAGCCATTTTCTAAAATACTGTAAAATATGTATATTTCAAAGATGTGTGTACTTGTTGTGGGAACAGAGTGGCGGTCAGGAGAGGAGTGCCTCAAATTTCTATTTGTTTTAAAATCATTGATTTATTTTCTCCAACTACCAAACTGTTGTGCAAAGAAGTTACACTCACATACACATATACTGTGTGTATATATATATATATATGTACGTGTGTATATCTAATATATGTATATGTATGTGTGTGTGTGTGTGTGTGTGTGTAATATAATATATACTTGCTGTATATAAGATGCAATTTGTGATTGTTTGCAGTTGTTCTGTATAACTGTGTTTTAATAGAAGTCTAAAAATAGAATAATACTGATCTCTAAGGTGGTTTAGTTTTGGTTATTGTGTTGTCAATTACTGTTGTTTGATAACACTGGCAAGGGGACATGGTTGTTGTGTTATATATGATATCTTTATTTCATTCAATCAGCAGTTGCTAAAATTCAAGCAAAAACAGGTTACAACAACAATATTTTTTTTTCTTGACTGGGTTAATAAAACGTCTTACAATCAAGTTAGCAGTGGGTAATATATTGTCAGAACTTCTGATAAAATAGTAACATTTTTCATCATTACAAGTGAAATATAGAACAGAACATAAGCATTTTAGTTACAGCTCACATTGTATGAGAGTTTATTAGATGAGGACTGCGCTGGTGGTTGTTGCGGCGTCAGAAAAGGATGGTCGACTGTGACCCTGAGCTCTGATGAAAGGCAGACACACACGTCTGCAGCCCAGTTCACAAAGTAACCGAATTAACTCATTGCGAAACTGCACCCCAACAAAGGCATACAGGAAAGGGTTCAGGCAGCAGTGTGACAAACCCAGGCTCTTTGTAACATCAAGGGCTACTTGCAGTAGGTCATAAGATTTACAGTCATCAAATGAGATACCCTTCAGGTCTGCCATAGTTTGTATCACTAAGGTGATATTATATGGGAGCCAACAGAAGCAAAAGACAAGAGTGACAATTAAAGCCAGTCGAATGGCCCCTTGCTTTGCTTGGCTTTTCTGACTGTTGCACAGAGTAACCACCAATGCTGTGTAGCAGTAGCTCATGACAGCCAGAGGGAGGAAAAAGCAAATGTGATCTAAGACTCTTTTGGTCAAAACCCAATTATGTGCATTGATTTCATAATTATAATAGAAACAGGAGAGCCTGGATGTGTTTGCGTGTGCCTCCTTTACAGCAAGAAACACAACATTTGGCATTGATAAAGCCAAACAGACCAGCCATAGTAAAATGCATGTTAGTTGCACTATTCGTGGACGTCGACTTCGCATGCTAGGAATAGCATGAACAATAGCCAAATACCGATCAAACCCAATGCAAGCAAGAAGGAAACTCCCACAGATGAGGTTAAGACTTTTCATCAGCTCAATCAGTTTGCAGAGGAACGCCCCAAATACCCAACCAGAGGCTTTGTCAGCCAAACTGAAAGGAAACGTGAAAAGGAGCATCAGGTCAGCCAGGGCAAGGTGCAGTAGGTAGATCTCAGTAATGCGCAGGAGGCGCCAACGTCTCAGGAGGACGGTTATCATCAGGCCGTTCCCTACTACACCCAGCAGGAAGATCAAGCTGTGAAGCACAGGCTGAAACACAGCATCAAAGGTCTGCAGGCCCAGGTTGTCTTCATCACAGTAGAAGCCAGACTGATTGTCTGTTGTGTTCCAAACATTGTAGTCTGTATCATTGTCGGGGTCTCCCATGTCTGTCATCTTCAAAATATAAAAGGTGGGGGTGGGGGTGGGGATAGTTTTAATGACCAGCACAGTTAGATAATCGCTTTGTGTGCTGCTGCCTGTGTGCAGGTTTCTTAGTCAAATTGTTGTTTGGAAGGAAACACTGAATAGGCCAGATATTTTTCACTTCCCCTTCACAGTAACTGAGAATGCAAATATGTTGAAACATCTCACTTTGGTTGTATAATAATAGCAGTAATGAATAGTAATGAGTTTTTTTCCCCCAGGCAACAACCAAGTTATTATTATATCTGGTGGAGAAGTCAATCACTGCAATGTTAGAGCAGTGAACCATAAAAACACCAAAAAATATGTCCATATATGTTCTAATATATAAATGCGTTTTACAAATATATTCATAATTTTTCACATAACACTTTGCATTCCACTGTAATATTAGCAACAAAATATACTCTGGACTATAGTTAAACCAGTTTTATCATGTAACTAGAAAAAATAGCATGATTGAATAAGACTGAGCAGTAAATATATTTATAATATTTAGATATATTTTAATAGAAAAAAAAATTCTGTTCCAATAAAAATAAATTTTAGATTTTAAAACTATGCAAACTAATAAGAGTTGATTTGCTGCTGCCCTTAGTGTCAGTGTTATCACTGGGCTTGGACCTGTTCCTATGATGATATGTATGTTGGGGTAAACCACTGTGATTAGGAATCAGGAATAATCACAGATATAGTTGCATATGTGTTCTTTACCTTCTACATCAGTGTGATGATGTAGAAGGTAACATTTGTCCCTCACTTATTTCCCCGATGAGTCAACAGGATAGAACCACTTCGCACACGATGAAACAAACCCACATCAGTTAAGGTGCATTTAACAGATCAGAAATTCATGTCTCTGTAATTTGTGGTTTATGTGTCTCAACTTTGTAACAACAGAAAAAAATCTTGTAGTTAAATCTAAATCATAGGAAGCAGCTACATGTTGCTCATTACCTTAAAATGTCTTGCTATAAAATGCCAGGTGCTGCAGCTGAGGCTTGGAAAACTTTAGAATTACACTGTACTGTCTTAAATAGTAGATTATAACTACTGGAAAGTAATGACAGAACTAAAGAACATTTGACTACAGTCTACATCACAATAAGACTCAACCTGTTGTTTACTATAGGACATTCTTTTATGGTTATAGAGATTACAAACTGAACATGCACACATGCTGCATTTGAATATCTCAATTTAAATTAAATTACCCGCTATATATATATATATATATATATATATATAAACCCTTTTGAGAGACAAAAGTTCTACAGAAATGTAATTTTTCACTTCAACAATTTTTAATTATGTCTTACCTCAAACTCTGTAAAAATGTGTGTTACAGCCATGTGGGTAATTCCTGGTCACTTGAATGTATTTCACACTGCTGTGTGCTGAAATGTGTTCTACTTCCTGTCAGTGCTGCTTCTTTTATATTTGCTTCGCAGATTTCTTTGCTGGGGGTTTTGTTGCAGCTCCGGGTGCATTTAAAAGAAAAAGGTCAAAACAGAGCAAAGGTTCATAACAGGCTCTCTGTAATAAGCAAGAGCGGGAATGAAGGTCCATGTAACTCCACCCTACAGTAAGTTCCAGCTTTTGACAAACAACAGGCAATTATACCAAATTAGTCCAATTTATTTGTTTTTTGCTACACATCCTTACAAAGCTTATCTGAGTATTCATCCATGCTCTAACAAGATTATTTTGAATAACACCTTTCATCATCCAGCCTTATCATTTAAATCAGTTCTGTGTTTCCGATGGCAACATTTATCACAAATACATCATGGAAATTTAACCTAAGCTTATTAATAATTGAACATAAGTATCTTGGAGATACTTGGAGGGGCTCTGGTTAGAGGAGTGGGCTTATGACCAGAAACTCTAATTTGCTACAGTAGCAAGGGGGTTCACCAGATAAATATGGCTGCGGAAAGCCAAAGAGAGCAAGGTCAGCAGGTCAGGCTGTAGTTGTACTAGGCATTAAATGCTTTACTGTTTTTTTTTTTGTTTTTTTTTCCAATGAAATGATATTAACTGAAAACGACCTGATTTCCCGCAATTTAAGTTACAGTTAGAAACCACAGTGTTCGCTCTCGGTTTGGTTTCACTGTGTGGGTGGGCCCTCCGTTACTGTCAACATAAGAATTAGTCATATTTTACTTTGATATACAGTGGGGAGAACAAGTATTTGATACACTGCCGATTTTGCAGGTTTTCCCACTTTCAAAGCATGTAGAAGTCTGTAATTTTTTTTATCATAGGTACTCTTCAACTGTGAGTGACGGAATCTAAAACAAAAATCCAGAAAATCACATTGTATAATTTTTAAGTAATTAATTTGCATTTTATTGCATGACATAAGTATTTGATACGTGAGAAAAACAGAACTTAATATTTGGTACAGAAACCTTTGTTTGCAATTACAGAGATCAGACGTTTCCTGTAGTTCTTGACCAGGTTTGCACACACCGCAGCAGGGATTTTGGCCCACTCCTCCATACAGATCTTCTCCAGATCCTTCAGGTTTCGGGGCTGTCGCTGGGCAATACGGACTTTCAGCTCCCTCCAAAGATTTTCTATTGGGTTCAGGTCTGGAGACTGGCTAGGCCACTCCAGGACCTTGAGATGCTTCTTACGGAGCCACTCCTTAGTTGCCCTGGCTGTGTGTTTCGGGTCGTTGTCATGCTGGAAGACCCAGCCACGACCCATCTTCAATGCTCTTACTGAGGGAAGGAGGTTGTTGGCCAAGATCTTGCGATACATGGCCCCATCCATCCTCCCCTCAATACGGTGCAGTTTTCCTGTCCCCTTTGCAGAAAAGCATCCCCAAAGAATGATGTTTCCACCTCCATGCTTCACGGTTGGGATGGTGTTCTTGGGGTTGTACTCATCCTTCTTCTTCCTCCAAACACAGCGAGTGGAGTTTAGACCAAAAAGCTCTATTTTTGTCTCATCAGACGACATGACCTTCTCCCATTCCTCCTCTGGATCATCCAGATGGTCATTGGCAAACTTCAGACGGGCCTGGACATGCGCTGGCTTGAGCAGGGGGACCTTGCGTGCGCTGCAGGATTTGAATCCATGATGGCGTAGTGTGTTACTAATGGTTTTCTTTGAGACTATGGTCCCAGCTCTCTTCAGGTCATTGACCAGGTCCTGCCGTGTAATTCTGGGCTGATCCCTCACCTTCCTCATGATCAGTGATGCCCCACAAGGTGAAATCTTGCATGGAGCCCCAGACCGAGGGAGATTGACCGTCATCTTGTACTTCTTCCATTTTCTAATAATTGCGCGAACAGTTGTTGCCTTCTCACCAAGCTGCTTGCCTATGGTCCTGTAGCCCATCCCAGCCTTGTGCAGGTCTACAATTTGATCCCTGATGTCCTTACACAGCTCTCTGGTCTTGGCCATTGTGGAGAGGTTGGAGTCTGTTTGATTGAGTGTGTGGACAGGTGTCTTTTATACAGGTAACAAGTTCAAACAGGTGCAGTTAATACAGGTAATGAGTGGAGAACAGGAGGGCTTCTTAAAGAAGAACTAACAGGTCTGTGAGAGCCAGAATTCTTAGTGGTTGGTAGGTGATCAAAAACTTATGTCATGCAATAAAATGCAAATTAATTATTTAAAATTCATACAATGTGATTTTCTGGATTTTTGTTTTAGATTCCGTCTCTCACAGTTGAAGTGTATATCAGAATTAGAGTTATAACAGCATTTCATAAAGTTATTTCCTCTAAAATAAGTATATACATTTGATTCATACTGAAAGTAAAGTAGATCATCAGAGTGATGTGTTACGGTAAACCACTGTGGACTTAGATATAATCAGTGTTCTTTACCTTCTACATCAGAGTGATGATAAATGAATTTCAAGCTGTTTAAAACCCGTGAAAATGAGAAAAATGGAACCTATCATCCTGCTCTCCTTTCATGACAAACATATAGGATGTATATACATTGAATTTATTCCTTGCTTATTTCCCCGATGAGTAAACAAGAAAGAACCAGTTCACACTCAAGGTGACAAACCCACATCTGTTAAATTCATGTTCCTGTTATTTGTGGTGTATGTTTCTCAACTTTGTTTCAATTTAAAAATCCTTTAGTTCCTTAATCATAGGAAGCAGAAACGTGTTGCTCATTACCTCAAGAACATTTGAGTACGGACTAAATCACAATACTTACAAATTGAATGTGCACACGTGCTACATTTGAATATCTAAATTTAGAGCAGAATGTGATGCACTATATATGCTAATATGATAAAAAAAAAACCTTTAAAAACAATAGTTCTACAGAAATTTACCATTCACTTCAATAATTCTTGTTTTAAGTGTGTGTTTGTTTCATTTTCTTAAGATGATGCAACAAGAAAACGACCTGATTTCAAACAATATGATCTACAGTTAGAAATCAAAATATTACTTGCATGTTTGGGTGGGCCAAAATAAGAGTTAGTCATATTTTACTTCCTTGATTGTGTCTTGACAGATGCAGCTTATAAGCATTTAAAATCATATGTAATCAACAACAGAACAGAGTTTGTGTTCCATTAGCTTCACAAAGCTCCTCATATATACTGCTATATTAAAATACATTTTGGGGAAAAATTCAGGGTTATCATATCGCATTCACTTATTAATTGGACTATTCCTGATTGAACTGAGTTAAAGGAAACACAGAGGGCACACAATGCCAACAAAGACTCAGGATGGATAGGTCCAGTAGAGTCAGTGTAGTACGGTAAGACAGTCTTCAAGTATTATTTTCACAGAACACGCCTAAATGGGTAAGCACATATAAATTAATTAATTAATTAATTGCTATTTTTTATCTATCTATCTATCTATCTATCTATCTATCTATCTATCTATCTATCTATCTATCTATCTATCTATCTATCTATCTATCTATCTAACTATCTATCTATCTATCTATATATATATGTTTTTATACAAGTGAAATGTTTTAAGGGGTTTCTACGGTTAAGATAATGGTTTTGGTTAGGCAAATAGTATGGTTAAGGTTAGGAGTTTGTCTCCAGGAAATGAAAGTAAGTCAGTGTAATGTCCTCTGAAGTCATGCAAACATAATTCTCTCTCTCTCTCTCTCTCTCTCTTTCTCTCTCTCTGTGTGTGTGTGTGTGTGTGTGTGTGTGTGTGAGAGAGAAAGAGAGAAATAGGGAGGGTTCCATTCCTGTCCCTTCCCTCCTCTCATTATCACAATACTACAAATCTGGTATTGCAGACAGACACATACTATATGTACAGCAAAAACACTGCATCATTCACATTCACATTTTCTAGTACTCCTCTAATTATTACTTAAACATTTTCCCTTGTTTATTCTGCCTCATCACGAGAGCTACCGTTCAAATCGTCACTGCTGCCATTGCCATCCTTTTACACTGTCCCCCTGTATACAGCTCATGTTCCTTGTCTTTCTCACTGGTTCACTCCTCTGAATCCGATAAACCATCATGTGGCAAAAGCACCTCACCTCTCTCTTTTTTGAACGATAGATAGATGCTGACAGAAATTCCCTGAAAACCTTTGTACACTGGTGAATGAATCAACTGTACAGAGTAAAATAAAAAGTAATCAATATTTCATACCTTTATATTATTGATTATCTGTAATCAAATATATTTTCGGGGGTGGAGGGGCAGTGCCCAGGTGCTTCCATTTTGGATTTTGATATGATGAGTAAATTTTTCAATATTGGCATGAAGTCACATGACCTGAGTACCTGACCCACCCCCCCATTCAGTGTTTCTCAATACTTAAAATTTACCCACTTAATGCTTCTCCGTCCATCTCCAATGCCTGTCAAATGTCTGTATCCCCCTCCCCAAGGATAGAGAACCCATTTAAGGGTTAAGGTAAAAACCTTGATTTGAAATGAAATCAGCTGATTAGCTGGATGGGGGCGGGTTCAAATACGAGTGGAAGCCATCTTGAACGGCTGGTTGACAAGAGTGTTTCGTAGTCAGCTAAAAATTGATTACACCGTTCAAACGCCACATAGAAGACCGGTTATTTCAGTTATCCGAGGTAAATGCATGTACATCTAAACAATTTGTACTTGTAGGTAGTTCTTTATCAGATATGTAATTATTTCGTGGTAACTTTTACAATTAACATTAACTGTTAAATGTTATTTCGCCATCGTTAGCTTGCTAGCAGACCTAGCACGGCAGCTGAATAAGCTGGAGTAGCTGATATTAGTTGGTGGTGGATATCTACTCTTGTTTTTTAAGTGAACATTGGAAAATGTGTCATTTATCATTGTTACTATAATTGTAACGTATCGGATGGATATAATTATTTGACTCCGGCATCGTACCGTCGATTACCGAAGCAGCACAACATTAGCATTAAGCTAAAGCTTCATGTGCTAGTTGGCCAGATGTCGGTGGCTAGCAGAATGGTAGCTCAAGGCTAGTTGCTTTCTAGTTAGTTGGGTTTTATAGACATGGCGTGCTCCTGGTCAGTCACGTATTCGAGTATTTGTGCACTAGACTTCTTATACGGCACAATCTGGGGTAACTGTATTCTCAAGACAGATGTGTTTGAATGTCCGTTTGTCAACGCAGTTTCCACATTGTTAGCAAAGGTTAACTAAATAACATTCCCACCCACCGCTGCGTCGGCTAACTTTTGACGTAGGCCAGCCTCCACTGTTATAGCTATTGATTGAGCTAAATGTTGACTTGATACGTCTCCCTACCCTCCCAGTGTCATATATTGTCTTTTGCCTCACAGCGTCATTCAGTTACATAATTGTTTCGGTCGGTATTGGGTTTCTAACATTGTGTCTCTTATGTTGCAGGGTTGGAAAAACCACAGTAAGGACGCGGCGGCACAGTTTGGCTAAATGAGATGGCTAGCTGAACAGTCAGCCAATGCTAGTTAAGCCCTCCTGGTGTATGGTTTTCCAGAGAACATTGGCAGATTACATCTATGCTAAGACCTAATTTGCTAAAGGAATCTCGTTGTCTTAAAAGTGAACAGAGGAATTTGTTTCTTGGCACTTGATGTCCAAGAAACAATATTGCTGAAGAACCTGCTGAGACAGAAGATTTGGACACTTAACATTTAGATTATTATTAAAGACTCAAGAGGGAAGGACAATCTTGAGTGGTCCCAGCAGAGTGGACTCACTTCATCCAGAGACTGTTAAGAGTTTCATTGCTTTTGGAACAGACAAGTTAAGCTAAGTAAACATGAGTACCGCCAGGACAGAGAACCCAGTGATTTTGGGCTTGTCTAATCAGAACGGACAGCTCAGAGGCTCAGTGAAGCCTGCTGGAGCACCAGGTGGAGGTGGAGGAGGCCCTCAGCAACAGCAACTTAACCAGATGAAAGGCACAATTAACAATGGTAATTCCCAGCCAGCCCCTACAACCAATGCTGTCATCAAGTAAGTTATTTGAAAAGCCAAGAATTTGGACTTGGTTGATCTATGCATGTTGGCACTATTATTATTATTATTATTATTATTATTATTATTATTATTATTATTATTATTATTATTGTCAATTATTTTTGCTTATAAGAACTTTACCTTCCACAGGCCTGGAGATGACTGGAAGAAAAATTTGAAATTGCCCCCCAAGGACATGAGGATGAAAACTTCGGTTGGTATAAGACAGTTATGATACTGTTCTGAAATCCATCAAATTTGAATGTAGAAATTGCAGATAGAGCAAGGCTTCATTGTACACACTGTTATTCCAAACAAGGTGTTGAATGATAAAAACCTTTTGCCTTTTTTAAAAAAAAAAAAAAATTGTATTTAGAAATTAATTATTTCACTATAAAATGCATTAAATGTTACATGGTAAATGGCACTGATGTAGTCACAGTTGCGGTTAACATTGCATCTACTTGAGCTGAGAAACTTGGTGCTCAATTTACATCTTTTAGCTCTTAGTTTACAGAAATGCTGTATTTCTACATTCTTTGTGTAGCTGATGACATAGATTGTTGTGGAACATTGTTTATCATTTTACAAGCTAGTGAGCTGTTTTCATTTTATGAAACAAATCTTGCTTAAGACTCGTTTTATGACGATTACAGGATGTGACTGCAACAAAAGGCAACGAGTTTGAAGATTATTGCCTAAAGAGGGAGCTGCTCATGGGAATCTTTGAGATGGGCTGGGAAAAGCCATCTCCAATCCAGGTAGATTCAGACACAACTCAGATTTTATCCCCTTTGACAGCTGAACAACAAAGTGTCAATGTGTTTAAGGAAGTGCATGTTTTCATAATTATAAAGTTGGGTGTATTTCAAACATCCTGGCAGCCATTCCAATGCCTTGCCTTAAACACCACCAAAATGTTCTTTGGGTCCTTTGCTAAAATAAAACCATATGAAATACTTGGATTAATAAAACACTCAAAATAATTGCAGTCTACCACTGATTGTCTCACTCTGTCACACTACATTAAATGACATATAATGTGTTATTGAAATAGTACAGGATTTAATGCAAGACAATTGTAGTTCCCCCATCACTGTTTATTTTGACTGGCACAAAATTTTGCACATCCATTAATAGTTATCAGATGAGTAATTGTAATCACTGGTTAAACTTGACTTTGACTTTGTGCTACCATTGAGTAAAAATTTGATTTTTCTACAATACTTTGGTTTAGCTGTATTTTCTGTTGTGTGAAATACTGAAATGAAATCAGTGAACTTGGTAAACATACCTGCTAAACATCAACATTATGTTGTCTTTGTGCATTTTGTCATGCTAGCATTACCATTAAGGCCAAAGCACCACTGTGCTTGAGTACAACCTCAATTCCTTATGCTTCACTGATAAACATTAAATAAAATTACAATAGTATAATTCTGAATTACATAGAATAATTACCAGATAAGTATCACCCCTCTGTCCACATGCACACATGATTACCTGTGTGTGCTCTCTCTCGCTAACCAATGAACTGTGATTTTATATTGATGATAATTTACTTTCAATTCAGTCACTCTTCATGTATTTTAAGTGACAACACCTTTTGTATTGACTCTTTGAACATATTTTGTTAGAGCAGACATTATTTGCAGGTACCAAAATGCGCTGACTAAACCCAGCCAAAAAAATTAGTATTGTGTATTAATGTTACTACTGCTTTGTGTGCAGGAGGAAAGCATTCCCATTGCACTGTCAGGAAGGGATATTTTGGCCAGAGCCAAGAATGGCACGGGAAAGAGTGGAGCCTACCTCATTCCCTTACTTGAACGCATTGACCTGAAGAAGGACTGCATACAAGGTGAGAGAGCTAGTTTTCTGCTATGGTTTACTCACAGTAAATTTCATAAAGATGACAATTGACTCGCATCTAATCTCAGTCTTTCATCGAGAGAATGGGGAAGAAACGGGATGGAATGGAACAAAAATCACAAATGAGAATAAAATCTATAATACTAACCACTGCTCATCATTCCCAGCAATTTTGTGGTTCTTGAATCATACCAGGCTGTTGGTGGTTGTATGTAAATTTGGGTTCCAACCACTCATATTTTTTTAAGGTTTTTTTTTTTTTTTTTTTTTTTTTTTTTTAAGCCTTCTGTGATAGAACACTGAATGACTTTAAGATTAATCCTTAATGAAAAACATTGTAGCCCTATTTGTATGATTATATTCAATGAAACTAATTGGTCATCAGTGAAGTGATCAGTTTCTTTTGTACTGTATGTAAGAAAAAAATTATGTGTGACGCTCCAGTGTAGTTTCTACCTCTCATTGTTGTGACTAGATTTTTTTTTGAAAAGCTTTGTTCATGTGTCCAAATTAAGACTGGCTGCGGCAGCTGGCTGAGGTTTAATTAATGTGTGAATACTCACCAGAATGTGTCTGTTTTTCCAGCTTTGGTCATAGTGCCCACCAGAGAACTGGCTCTGCAAGTAAGCCAAATATGTATCCAGGTCAGCAAACACATGGGTGGAGTGAAGGTAATGGCAACCACAGGTGGCACCAACCTACGTGATGACATCATGAGACTCGATGAAACAGGTAAACCTCACAATTTACTCAAATTGTGCATGGGGGCATGAGATGCATGATTTCTGTGTCTATCCTCATGCTAAATACTATGTTAATATCCATCTTGAATGACTTATTAAATAGTAAAATATTAATGTTGGTACTTAAGCTCTCATTCTAAACTTTCCATTTGGGTGAAAATCAATGAATGTGTTTGCGTTGGTTGATTGTTACATAATATTCAGTGCAAGCAAATGGAAATCCCCATCTGTTCTATGCTTCCTGTCAAATGAAGGCATTGTAATTTAAAGTAGAAGCTGGGGTTTTATATCTCTGGACCCTGCTCTGAGATCTGTGCAGAAGATGAAGGTTATTATTTTTTCAATATTTTGAGGCCCACATGATGGATCAGTCTGGCTCTGCATTAAGTCTGGAAAGTCTTAGTATCAGAGTCTAACACACATAGCAAAGGAGCTATGTCATTTGGTTGGATATTGTTCACACTGAGTTTCTCAAAAAGCATTTGTTTGTTACTTAATGGTCACATCACAAAACCACAATGAGGTGGTTGTTAGTTTCTCCTTGTTGAAGGCCCTATTTATTGACTACATTGTTTATTATTCTTGAGTGTCTTGAACCTTTTTTATTTTATAAATATTGTTTGTGCAGCTACATTTTTGGAAGGCAAAGGGTGTTGATGTTGTGTGGCAGAGTGAATATTGCCCAATAACTGGAGAATCTCCCCTGAACTGCACTGTTGTCAGTGGTTGAATATTGCCAATATGATGTGATTTTTACATTCATGATCCTGCACTCTGTCATAACACTGCCATTCTTTAATGCAAATCCTATTTTTTTTTTTTTTTTTTCACCATGTATTTATTTGTTTTACAGTACATGTGGTGATTGCCACTCCTGGGAGGATTTTAGACCTCATCAAGAAAGGAGTGGCCAAAGTCAATCAAGTGCAGATGATTGTTCTGGATGAAGTGAGTTAAAAAGTTATTGTGTTTTTTTTTTTCTTAATAAACCAGTGTGACTTAAAGAATTTAAATATTCGCTTTAGATAGTTCTCAATATACCTTTCCCTCCGTGTCTTTCTGGTCCACAGGCTGACAAACTTCTGTCCCAGGACTTCGTGGTCATGATGGAGGAGATACTGGGCTTTCTGCCCAAACAGAGGCAGATTCTGCTTTATTCTGCAACCTTCCCTCTCAGTGTGCAGAAGTTTATGGTACTTTACTATTTTCATTTCACTACTCATTATTTTCCATTATCTTATTATCACATCTACCTTTTTAATGTGTTGCAAAACCAGAATATAACTCCTCTCTTGTATCTATGATGTAGAATTCCCACTTGCAGAAACCCTATGAGATCAACCTAATGGAGGAGCTTACACTGAAGGGTGTGACTCAGTATTATGCTTACGTAACTGAAAGGCAAAAGGTCCATTGCCTTAACACCTTGTTCTCCAGGGTAAGTGTTTCCTTTGTGCACTTCTTGATGCAGTTTTTAATGAACTAACTTTAGCTGTGTCATGAACAAAGCACTGTACAAGTCCAAGCAAACTGCAGACTTTTAATGCAAACTTGAAAAATGATGTCATTTATATTGTTGAGTATTTTCTTTCTAACATCTTGTATTGGACATTACAACTGTTTATTGTTGGATACTTGTAATAAATGGCTGGAAACCTTACAGTCCAAGCAATGATCTCACCAGAATTTAATATTCTTTTCTTTTTTTCTTTTTTTTTTCAGCTCCAGATCAACCAGTCTATAATCTTCTGCAACTCCTCTCAGAGAGTGGAGCTCCTTGCCAAGAAGATCTCCCAGCTTGGTTATTCATGTTTCTACATTCATGCCAAGATGAGACAGGTCAGCTCAAAGCACTGCCTCAGAAATACATGTTTACCAGCTTAAGACCAAAATACACAGGTAGCAATGGATACATGCCAGAACAGCTGCTACTATTACTTTCAGTGTGCATGAAAGAAGTGCATCGAATAGACGTACATGTGCCGTTACTTGATGTGCAGCTACAGTTCACACCAGTGCTCTATTTCTGGAGTACCGCTGCCACTGCCAGCTTTCTTTTTTTTTTTTTTTTTCCTGACGACAAACAGCTGTGTTGATACCTGGGTAACTGAACAACATGTACAAACAGCTTCTGGATTGTCCCGTTTTATTTGTCATGTACTGTTACAGATTACATTGAAGATAAATGTATTCACCTTACAACCTTGTTTTGCAGCTCAGCTTTTACTGTATATAGTCAAGTTTTACAGACAATAACAATGCAGTACTGTTTAGTACCATCCAGTGTTATGCCAGTTCACACAAAAATGAACTAGTTCACAGTCATTTGTTCATTCGATTTTTTTTTTTTTTTTTTTTTTTTAAATAAAGGCCGATATTCTTTTTCAACCTCCTTCTACCCATCACCAGCCCAAAATCATTGCTACTCCCAAACTAAAGGAATTAATGTATACCACTGAAGAATCACAGACATGAGTTACATTTAAAATCCGTATATAAATATAATCTTTCTAAGTCTTCACTTGTTTGTTCATAAAACTACTTCAAATATTCCAACAAACTGGCTTCAGCAGTAGTAGATGCGTCTGTACCTTCTGTACCGCTACCACCAGCCAAGCTGAGTCGTGTCTGGAGACTTCATGCGGCGTGCTGTTAAACTGTTGTACCACGTGAGCGGCATTCATTTGTAAACTGATTTGTTCAGTTCAGTGATCAAAAAAGAATGTGAATGTGTTAAATGACCACCGGTCATTGAACTTGTTTATGCACAACATGGGTACCCTTCTTATGAGGCTTGCACTATATGCTGCTGTGTATCTTACGTGAAGTAGGCGCGTATGAGTGTGTGTGGTTTCAAAATGCACTTTGCTCTTTTCTGCTCTCCAGGAGCATCGCAACCGTGTGTTCCACGACTTCAGAAATGGCCTGTGTCGGAATCTTGTCTGCACTGGTGAGTGGTAGAGACATGTACATTTGCTTTTACAAGCAGGATTGTGAAATACTCTAAAGTTTTTTGCAACAGGCAGCTATTGTGAGACTGTTTGCATATTATGACCAACAGACTTGCTCTGTACCACCTCACTTCTCAGATTTTGAACTTCACCATTGAGCCATTTGAATATCAACCCTGATTCTTAGACACAGTGTCTGAAATGTCAGATGTGATGTTTGTGTAGTTTAGAAAATAACTGTTTATTGGATCCTCTACAGCATGAGTTTCAGTACTTGTTCAAATCACAAAAATAAACAAAAATGCACAGAGAAAAATGTCAGACAAAAGCCAAACCAACAAGACTGTAGCACTGAAGCAAGACATGTATACATGATGTCGATGAAATTTCAGGCTGAAGGCAGCATAGAGAAGTAAACTAGATGTGGCTGCCACAAATCTGTTTACAGTGCCACAGTTTTCACAATGGGCTCCTGTTGCCTGTGGGGAGCACACCAGCACACAGTTGTGTTTGGAGTGTGCTGTTGGCTTTGGTTTTGGTAAATGGAGAGTTTTGCTACCATGATAGGATTGTGAGAGTTAAAAGAAAGTGAAACGAAATTTAGACTCTGTATAGTTGTGACAATACATGCACACAAATTCTCACTCTACTTGCTCTGCCGGTGTGCTTTTTTTTTTCTGTTGTGGAGGTGGCAATGGAACTCTTTATTAATATTTACATCTTTTACTTTCAGTTTGTAGTGATTTACGTGGGTTGTAATTAACTACTGTTTATTGTTCTGCAGGTAATTACATACATTTGGGTCAGGATGTAGGATGTTGGTGAAGGTTTTGATTTCTTGTTTTGTTTCCTCTAGACCTCTTCACAAGAGGAATTGACATTCAAGCTGTGAATGTTGTGATCAATTTTGACTTTCCCAAGCTGGGAGAAACATACCTTCATCGCATTGGTAGATCTGGTAAGAGCCCAGATCTCTTATGTTTATTGAGCCTCCTATTTAGTACAAAGAATTATTCTTTAGCTGCTGCTGATGATAAACAATTTCAACCCTCGCTTTCTTAATATCCAGGCCGCTTCGGACATCTGGGTCTTGCCATCAACCTCATCACTTACGATGATCGCTTCAACCTGAAAGGGATTGAGGAGCAGCTTGGAACAGAGATCAAGCCCATCCCTGGCATCATTGACAAGAGCTTATATGTGGCAGAGTACCACAGTGAGAGTGGCGAAGAAGTCAAGCCATGAGCCAGTGAGTACAGACACTGACTGGCAATACACACAAGCACTTACTTTTTCAGGATGATTTAACTGCTTTTCTGTTTCCCTATTGTCTGTCTTTTGATGTCACTGTAACGACTTAAACACACAGGCCAGGGCAGATTTTATCATTTGACTGATTAAAGGCAGCCACTACATTTTGCTGTGTCGTAACACTGTTATTGCTCAAGCTGGGTCACTGATAGAACTTACTGGCACAACTAAATGTAATTTATCCGTCATTACTGTCACTACCTAGACATTGCTTTTCCTGCCAAGTAAAAAGGTCCTCTGTGAGGAAGGTGTTACCTTTTTAAATGTGACAAAGGCGATCTTCAGTTTTGACAGGAAAGATGTTGGAAATTGAGCAATAACTCCTGTTGTTCTAAAACCGTCCTTTTAATGCATTTGTTCCTATGCTGTGACGAGGCTGCAGTTTTTCTACCTGAAAGATTGTGTTCAAACCTCAACTGACAGAAAGTGTTTGGCCTTAGGTCTAGACGTCCTTGGTTCAGACACTCAATCTCTACCAGCATCAGGATGGATTTTCTTTGTCATGTTCAAGTTTTCTATTGGAAGAAAACCTAAAACTAAAATCCAGGGGATAATAATCAAGGTTTTATTTTTTTGCCCTGAACTGAGTCCTTTTTCATATTGGATATGTGCCGTTACTGGGTCATAATTGGTTGATTTAAAACTGTGGGATGGTGTTGCAGAGTAGGTTTTCTTTCCTCACAAACACTCCTTGGCTGAGTACAGACAACAGCTGCAGAGAGTACACAAACCTGATGGATGAACTTTTGCTCTGTCAACAAGTTACTCATGGCATCAATGTCAATTAATGACCCCTGTCATGTCTTCATTTCAAGTTGTGTAGTGGCAAGAAAAAAATATGTGAACCTTTTGAAATCACCTGGTTTTCTGCATTGAGTGGTCATAAGATGTGATTTGATCTTCATCTAAGCCAGTGGTATAGACAAACACAGTGTGCTTAAGCTAATACTGATGCAAAAGGGCAATCTTTTGTGTCTTTACTGAACACACCCGTTAAACATTCAGAGTGCCGGTGGAAAGAGGACCCTTGTATTTAATAACTGGTTGATCCGCCTTTGGCAGCAATAACATGAAACAAGAGCTTCCAGTAGCTGCTGATCAGACCTGCTCAACGATCACGAAGAGTTTTGGACCATTTTTACTTGTAGAACTGATTCAGCTCAGACATATTCTCAGCATGTCTGCTGTGACTGACTCTCCTCAGGTCATTTCACAGAGCCCAGACCGTAATCCAGCACATACTAACTGGTTTTCTTTCTTTGAAGTCATTGTGTAGGCTGTTTAGGGTCACTGTCTTGCCTCTGAGATTCAGAAGCTAGATGGCCACCCTCCCATTATCATGTAAGATGCCTTGATAAACTTGGGAATGTGGAGCTGTCCAGGCCCAGAGGCAGAAAAGCCCCACATTATGATGCTCCCTCCACTGTACTTCACCTTGGGGATGATGTTTTTATGTTGGCACACAGTGACATTTTTACATCATACATAGCGCTGTATGTTCTTCCCTAACAATTAACCTTAGTTTCATCAGCACATAAAACATTTTCCCAGTAGTGTTGTGGAGAGTGAAGCTGCTCTTTGGCAAACATCAAGTGCAGGGATGTTCATTTTTTGTTTGTTTTTTTTTTTTTTTGTTTTGTTTTTTGTGTTTTTTGAGAAAAGCGGCTTGTCCTGCTTTCGACACCATGCCCATGATTTACAGATGGTTGACTCATGAGCAGATGTTAACTAGCTTCAGTCATTCCTGTAAGCCTTTAGCTGTTGCTCTTGTTACTCTTAGGTTCTTTGTTACATTACTGATCATTCTGCATTGTGTTTTTGGAGTCATATTAGCTGGATGCCCACTCCTATGGAGAATAGCCAGAGAACAAAATGAATATCTAAACTCTTTGAGATGACTTTAAGTCTTATGAGATCCGTTTTTTGCAAGTCATGGTTCACATCAGGATGTTTCTTATGAATGGCAAATTCAATATGTTTGAGTGATTATAAGTGAAATAATCAAAGTAGCTCTAATCCACCCCTCCAATCCTGTTTCATTGATTCGACTCTGATTAGCTTTTGTTGATGTCATTATCCAAGGAATACACATACTTTTTCCAAAAGCATATTTAATGACGTATTCATTATTGACAAGCACAATACAATGATTTGTGTGTTATTAGTCAAAATGAATGTATTGTTGAAGACTAAAAATACATAAAGATAATTGCAAGATAGGATCAGTATTTGATCGTTTACTTTGTCTTTTTATCATTATGTCAAGGGACACATGATGGTGTGGCAGTGATTTCACTGTGCAGCAATGAATAAAAAATGAGAATAAGTACATTCATCTGATGCACTTAAAATAGCCTAGACTGCTCTGTAATAACAATAAGGCACGGTAATGTAAATGGGGCTTGAGTAACGGTTACATGAAAACAATCAGGCCTAACTTAAGTTCATTCTTCTTTCTCTGTCTCTCTCTCTCTCTTTCTTTCTCTCCAGATCAGTCCATCCTCCATTCCCCTTTGTACCTTTTTTCATCCCCCACCCGCCCCCCTGTCTTGGAATTTTTTTTTCTTTTTTCTTTTTTTTTAAATGTACAGTTTCTGTCTGTCTTCCTTTTTTGGATGCCACCATAAGGAATGTGTATTTTGATGGACGCTTTTCGGAAGAACTCATTTGCCTTTTTATAGGGCTCTGCTGCACCACCACATCTGAAGACATAAGCACCGGGAGGAAAGCATGGGACCAAGTTGAAAATATCAATGCACATCGTGACGATTCATATCCACCAATGACACAAAGCCAGCACCAACAGACCCCTATATGACACCCTCCATTCTCCACTTTTAGTTTGGAAGTTTTAACCAATTTGTATCAAGTGCCTTAACAAGCAGTTCAACTCGTTCTAAAGTAATAACTCTGCATTATCCACCATCTTGCTCACTTCATACCACACACACGTTCACCTAATTGAAAAGTCTTTACACTAATTTAATGTCTGACCACACAGGTGAATGCATAACTGTTTTTGGTTGTCATCCGTTTGCAAAGGAATGGAGATAATTAGGAGGGAGGCTGGTCCGAATTATCCTTTTGCTGGCTTAGATGCACTTGAGTCTGGCTGATAAATGAGGACACACTTGGATTTTCCATGGACAGAGATGCTGGATTTTTTCCAAGAGACAGCCAGACTGTCCAGTTGCTTGTGAAGAAGCTTGTGCTTCTAAAAGACCCAGACCCTTTCCTCTCTCTTCAGCATCAGAACACTAAAAATGAATAAGCAGCCTCTCAACACCATGAGTCATGAGGATTCCTGTTTTGGTGGAGTATAATTGGAGGGAACGCTTCTTTTCTTTTTTGCCCTGTGTTTCACCTTCCTATGGATGGCCATACTTAATCCTGCGAGACGTGCAGCAGACGTGGGGTGCACCATACACCTTGTGTATATACCTTCATTTTAAGATTGTTTTAAACAAGTTCAAAAGGCTGGCTGACAAACTGCAAAGCTCCCCCCCCCCCGCCCCCCCCCTCTTCTCTCTTGTTAGCACTGGAGACTGTTTCTTTAACTGCCAGTTTGTTTGATCTGCAATATTGGCCTGTGACTTTATTTATAATTTTAAAAATTGCAGAATTTATTAGAATCTAAAACATTTAAATGACCTTGTGCATGAAATGTTTTTGGAGGCTGAGTTCATCACTCACAATCTTTTAGCCCCTCCAAATTTGATGGCTAGTGCAATTCTTCAAAGCTGCACTTAAACTGAGATTGTTTAAACTGTTGCCCTCGTTCTCCTGCTACCAGTGTTAACAAGTGTTCTAGGCAGATGGCTTTGTTAAGCTTGTGCATTTGAGTAGTGAAATCTTTGTTGTCACCAGCCTTAACTTGTTAACTTGTGAAACTGGCTCTTGAGACACACACTCAGATCTCCAGTTATAGTGAGTGTCGTTATTGGAAGAGAAAATATTATTCTATCATGTAGTAGTACTACTTGCTGCAGTGCAGCTGAATTGGCAGAGAATTAGTTTTCTGGGGGAGGTATTAGCTGTTACGTTGATCTGTGCTCTTTAAGCACAGCTTCATTACTTCACAAATGTTGGGTAGAATGCTGTGGTTTTATTTCCCCCCCCCTTTTTGAAGAATGTTGGCCAAATGCATCAAAATGAACCATCTGACCTAAAATGTAGCAGGAATTCATTCTCTGTGCTTTGCAAGTTAGTTGGCTTTCCTAAAAGCAGCTAACAAAAGATGCTTTGCTAAAAAAAAAAACAACCTGAGCAGGTTGGGCTGCACTTAATGCACAGAGATGGGTTCAGGCAATAACACTGACTGCACTGCTTTTTGTACTCATGTCCAGAGGGGAGAGAAGTGCATGTTGGTGCAGAACATTGGAAAAAAATTGCCATGGAGGGGGAATGGGCATGAAGGATTACAAAATTACTTAGTCGGACTGCTTGTTTAAAAAAAAGAAAAAAAACGTGGGCACCTCAGACTGCTGAGTTTATGGCTTATTTTTCTGCCCTCTATTGCTTTGGGTTTGGGTTATATATTTTGGGTTTACCTTCTGCATTTTTATGCAACATGAAAACCTTGATTTGCATTAAGGTTCTCTGATCATTTGTTTGTTCAGTCAGAACCTTCTTGTGAACAAGGTTCCCTTTATTACGGTGAGATGCTCTCTTGACTGTTCTAATCAATGAGAAGTGTTACTGCACATTTAATTTAAGCTCTTTTTAAAAGATTAGTGTGACAATGTTGATTAGTTAAAGATAACCCTTTTTATTTCTCATTGGTTAGGACTCTGATCCCTGTTCTCTTAATTCTGCTGTTGTCCCTGAAATACTTGCACATCTGATTTGGCTGTTCTGATTTTTTGGGGGGGTGGGGGGTTCTGTTAAAAGTATCCAAATTAATTATGCATTAATTAAGTGAACAGGGATCTAATTGTGCAGGCACTTGGCAGCTGTCTGTTTTTTGTCAGCCCACTGACAGTAATTGCCACAGCAAATACTTTCAAGGCTAAAATCAAGGACCTTTCAAGGTTTGGCGTATTGCTACCTTTTGATGGGATGCTGCTTTACTGCCAGTGGCTGGCATCTTGAGAACCTTAAAGACTGAGACAAGAGCATCTTGCCCTGGATTGGGTGACTAATTGGACAGTTCATGTAACCAAATTGTCTCATTCTTTAAGGTCTTTTTTTAAATTATGGGGTGGTTAAATTAGTGCACTTGCTGCCCTGATGCACATGTTCATCCTCTCTTGATAGTTGTGACATATTTACGATCACACAGCTTTTGTGTAAAAATTGGCCGTTCCATCAATCATCTGTTGAGGAGGATATGAGAGGAGTCCTTAAGGGATTTCTCTCAAAACTGATGCATCAGTAAAAAAAAAACATGGGGAGGAGCCTCTGGGCATAAAAAAAAAAAAACAAAACAGGATGACAAGATCTAACGATCCAAAGTTATGATAATGGGTATAAAAAAAGGTTTGAAAAAGTTGCCCTTAGATTTGGATTCTTTCTTTTTTTTTTTTTTTTTTTTTTCAAATGAAATGTTCAAGTGAAGTACACGTTATTAAAGTATCCAAATTTAAGAGAAGAATTTAAAGCCTGAGTTCATTTTTTGTTTTTTGGTCAGAAAATTGGTCTTTACTTAATTGGCAGAATTTTCAGTGAAGCTAGTTTTACAATGGACTTAAGTTTAAAGAATGTCATGAATATTATTGGGGACGTTTTGTTGACAATAAAGCTCACTGAAATTTATTGTGTCCTCAGCGTTTTGTTTTCCTTGCCTACCATTGCAGTGTCCTGTTAAACGGTTGTTTCAAAGCTAGGTGTCAGTATGTCGCCACTGTTCTGTCCTCATGTGTTTATATAAACTCTGACCTAGAGGCTGTTCTCAGACCACAGTCTTACTCATACTCTGGTGTCACCTCAGTTTATACCTCAAAATGCATGGATTGATGGTATTTTGCTTTTCATCAGTTGCTCTTTTGGCCAGTGTAAAGAGTGCTTTTCCACCACCGTGTGACAGGTAAGATAAAAGACTTTCCTTGAAATGTTTGTGTCTGAGAAGGACCGTGTTGAGATCACTTCCTGTTTTTGATATTCTGTTTTCATAAGAAAGTTCATGTTAATTTATGCTGGTGAGACTGGCCAGTTAATCTAAAACATGTCTTTCTCTTTGTCCAACTTTAAGATTTGCCACCATAAATATTAACCTACTGTATGACTTTTTTTTTTTTTTTTTTTTTTTTTTTTTTTTTAATAGAAAATTCGACTTTAGATTTTCTTTATAAAAATATGTTGATTCCAGCATCCACAGCAGCCACTAAACAGAAGTTCCTCATGTTTGTGTTGTATAATTACTTCCTCCTGCAGATATGAAGTTATCTGCAGACCTTTGGCCTCAACTGCACATTTTTTATAAATGATATGGTTTTATTGCTTCCCTGCAGGACTGTAACAAAATGGGAGTGTGTTGTAATAATAAGCATATGTCCTTTATGATGGCTGTTTAATAATTTACAACTCTTTAAATTTATTTCAGTCAAATATACTGTACTGGGCCCATCTTGGATCAGGTACAGAAAGCTAAACTGTTTGATGATGATAAGTACTTTGTTGACATGAAGTTGAAGGTAATGCCCGGTAAGTCAAAGTAAATGATCTATATATTTTTTTTATTTAGTTTTTTCTTTTTATGAGGTTGCCTCTGTTCCCTGCAGAAGTCGTGTTGTCGGCTTTTCACAACCTTTCAGATGAGACGTCAGACATGAAGGTCCCGCCTGCCAAACTGCAGGAGTTCCTCAGTGTGTACTTTGAGAAACCAGGGACAGAGTTTGAGTCATGGACGCCACCGGACTGGCACGACAAGTGAGATCCAGCTATCTGAGGACTCCTGTTCAGATCGTACTGTATGTTAAGTGGTGCATGGTTGACATGAGTCGACTTCTATATGCAGGCCAAAGTTCCTGGGAGGAATCGCAGACCAAAACCTACGTGACTGGGCTGAAAAGATACATCATCTGTGGAAGTCTCTTGGCAGGAAGGTGAGGAAGAAGAATTGAAATGAATAAAATTACAGATTGATAGTAAATATTTAATTCATTTTTTTTTTTAAACCAAAAATTCCCAAGTTTAAGTTTTTCCGATGTGAATTTTTGACAGTTTTATTCTGTGATAGTGAAGTGAACATTTGTGGAGTTTGTTCTGTTGGTTAGATCAGACATCTTGGGCTTTAGGAAATGGTGATGCATGTTCACTATTTTGTAATATTTTGTACACCCAATGATTCTTAAAAAAAAAAATGATCAATCAATAATGAAAGTAATCATTAGTTGCAGCTTTAATGTGCTTTTTCAAACTGTTCCTGTTACATTTCAAACACCCACCTACATGTCCAAGGGTTTTAAATCTAAAAGGGATTTCTCCTCCAGATCCACACCGGCGTTAAAGATCACCCAGAGCTCTACTCGCAGATATATACCCCACATCCTGTTGTCGTGCCAGGGGGGCGCTTCAGGGAACTCTACTATTGGTAAGGGAACAATGAAGCCTGTCGCTCAGCTGTCTGACAGCTAAAGTGGAGTCTCACCAGGTCAGAGCGAGGAGAGATCACAGCCAGACCCAGCCTGGGGTCTCTGTTCAGAGCCCACCTCAGTGCCATGTGCAGACAGTGACGTGAGCTGCTCTGTGTCCAACAGGGACTCCTACTGGGTCATCAACGGGCTCCTGCTGTCAGAGATGACAGACACGGCCTACGGGATGATTCAAAACTTCCTCTACCTTGTCAACAGGTGATCCTCAAAAGCACCTTTCATCTTTAATAGCACTCTTATTATAAAAAAAAAAAAAAAAAAAAAGTCTAGCGCTGCAGGTGATTCAGGCATACTCATTTTGAATAATTAGTCATTTAGCAACCGAAGTTGTACACTTTGGAAATGGAGCACTTGGGGGGGGGCTTCAAGATTTGGGGAATAATTTTTTTTTTTTTTTATATAACTCTCCTACAGATATGGCTTCATTCCAAATGGTGGGCGGATTTACTATGAAAGGCGCAGTCAGCCTCCATTCCTCACTCTAATGGTGGAGAGCTACTATCAAGCAACCAAGGATAAAGATTTCCTCAGGTGATATTTAGGCCTGAGCTGATGGCCTGCCAGACACATTATCATTCTTCAGCTGTCTCTCCCAGAATAGAAAAGAGGACACGGTGAACATCAAAAACCTCAGTGCTCGTGTCTCTCTGTGCCTCCAGTGTTTTTTTTTTTCTTAACATGCTTAATTAGAATGTGACACCCCAACTTTTGTGTATAATGATATTAAAGACTGTGGAAAGCATTCTGAATGGAAACATTGCTTCCTGCTGGTTCAGAGCAGCTTTACCGGCTCTGGAGAAGGAGTACCGCTTCTGGATGCAGAACCGTTCTGTGGCTGTGAAAGTAAAGGGGGCGGAGCATGAACTGAATCGGTATGATGTGCAGGTGGGCTTGCCCAGGTACGTCTGACAGAAATTTACCTAATGATTAAAAAAAGACTTAAGAACATGGGTATTGTGGGGGTATGTCTTCACCTGCATTAACATGTCTTCTGTTCTTTCCAGGCCTGAATCCTACACGGATGATCTGGAATTAGCTGAAGGGCTCACTGATGGTAATGGCTTATTAGTGTTCATATCATTGGTGGCTGAATGAATCCCCCTTTTATGAGCATGAGAAATATTACCCTGCTACGGTCATTTCATTCCATGAAAGAAAGATAACGCTGTGGGGTGTTCAATCCTGGAATGAATGCACTGTATTTTATAATTGCTCCTCAGCAGAAAAGTGGAATATATTTCCTCAGATTCAAGGATGATCTGTACACAACAAATTTGCTCTGAAAATACCCCAGTACCACGTTGTGATGAATATTTAATGTTAAACACATTGATTCTTTCACATCACCTGTGAACATGTTGACCACACTTCTATGAAAAGCTGTTTGAAGGGAAGATATTGTTTTTTTTGTTCACTAAAAAGTTTTCTTCCACCAAAATGGGTTTTCTCTCATTTCTGAAGATTGTTCCCTTTTATGTAAGATTAAAAGAAATTGTCAAGGTCAATCAGTTATTTCCTCCTCCTTAGGAGAGAGAAATGAAAAATGTTACAAAATTGAATCAGAAAGTGTTATTCAGTGACTGCATATTTTACTTCCTCACTGGATGTGAGGAAATACACCAATAGGTCTAATATTTTATATCCTGGTTTGTTATGTCTCCACCAGAGATTTCATATTTTCTCTTGCCCTCAGACCGCAAAGAGCAGCTGTGGATGGATCTGAAAGCGGGTGCAGAGTCTGGTTGGGACTTCACATCTCGCTGGTATATAGATGGTGACGGCCACAACAACGGCACCCTCACAGAGACCCGCACCAGTCAGATCCTGCCCACTGACCTCAATGCTCTGCTGTGCCTCAATGAGAAGACTCTCGCTTCATTTCACAGGATACTGGGTGAGTGCATGAGCAGCCTTTTGACCTTGGAACTAACTTTGGTCTGCACACTGCATTTAGCTCCTTACTGGTATTATATAATTGTGATGTGCTGTTTCCTGACAGGTGACGGTGACTCAGCTGCACTGTATGACCAGGCTGCAGCTCGCAGACTGGAGGCGGTGGAGTCCGTGCTGTGGGATGCTGAGAGGGGAGCCTGGTTTGACTACAACCTACTGACACACTCGAAACACTTTGAGTTTTACCCCTCCAACCTGGCACCTGTTTGGGCTCAGTGCTATTCTCGGCCTGAGATGGGAGAGAAGGCGGTACAGTACCTGAAGGTTGGAGGACATTGTAAGCTTCATTGTGCTCTCAAATCTCAAATAAATGTGGAAGAGAAGATTGTTTTGTTTATTTTAAGGGAATCAAGTCATCTAAATTACAAAATATGCATATTTTCCCCACTCACCTAATGGTATCTGCCTCTGCAGATACTGTACTGCAGATGTGCTTTTATTTTGCACAGGCTTTGAGATTTCTGCATCTGCCCAGTACACTGGAAGAGCATAGGGTTTTGTTTGAGGTGCATCCAAGCATCGAAAACTGCATTTCAAATTTTTTTTTTTTTTTTTTTTTTTTTTTTTTTACCAGCAACTTGTTTTTACACAAGCAATCCTCCAGTGGCTGTGGATGAATCACAGAACAGAATGTGAGTAGTTTTTAAAGGGACAATTTCTTCAGTTGGAAGTTGGCTCCAGTTAAAAAAAAAAAAAAAAAAAAAAAAAAAGGAATTACCAATGGGTGGCAGTAGAATACTTCAAAACCAAAACTGTGTGGCTGGATAACATTAGGGGTAAGTGAGAAATTATGTATTTATGCTATTTGTGTGAAATAACCCTTTAGCCTGTATTTATCAAGATAAGGTTGAATGAGCACTGATGACTTTTTTCCACAAATGTCAACACAGCTGCACACACCCACCCCTGCAAACAGCTGCGCAGCGTGACTCGTCACCTCTTCTGAATGGCCACTGCCGCTCCACTCCACAGTTCAGGCTTTAAATATTTTGCTGAAGTGCTTCTTGACATTTATTGAGGGAGGAGAGATTGTTGCTCATTTGATTTCCCCCACCAGCATTTTGACCCGCCCCTCTGCTCAGAGGCCCCCACAGTCCCTGTAGGATGTAACGTGCTGTATGAACAGTGTTCGTTTGCTCCAGCAGATGGCACACACAGACTGCACAGGGCTCATTCCTCTGGTTGCTCTTAACTGTTCGTGTGTGTGTATGTGTATGTGTGTGCGCGTGTGTGTGTGTGTGCGTGCAGGGGAGTGGCGCTCTACAGTTCCCCAACGGAGTTCCAACATCACTGAGAGAGTCTGGGCAGCAGTGGGACTATCCTAACGCATGGCCTCCTTTACAACACGTGCTCATCAGTGGTAGGTGGTTGTGAATTATCTGGCACCATGAGAATTTCCTTAAACCCATAGTGATGATTCACCAACTGTTACGCTGCTCGGTTGTCTTTGCATAATATTTTTTGAAAATACACATTGGTGCTTTGTACTCCAGCACACTGGAATTGAAATGAAACGAACCAGGTTAAAGCTACTGGCCTTCAGGTTTAATTTGAAGGTGTTTACTTCCACACCCTTAAAGGAACCCTAGTGATGCTCTTCCAGCTCTGAGCTGTAGTCAGCGTCTCTTTTTGACACGATCAGAGAGATCAGGGAATGAAAACTCCTTGGTTTCTTAGTCTGTATGATTTTGAATGAATAAATTTCCCTAAAACTGATGGGACCATGTATTACCTAGAATCAATCCTTACAGGGCCATGACTTCACCACAGATTCAGTATCCAGTCTGCTGGAGCCAACGCAATGGAAAACAAGTTGCATCTAATACTTTCCCTCATGTTTAAGAAGATTTTTCTTGGATGAAATCCTCCTGTATTTCCAGGTTTATCCAAACTGCCTTCAGAGGATGCTAAACAACTAGCATTTGACTTGGCCCAGCATTGGATCAAGACAAACTGGTTGGCGTACATGAAGTATGACGCCATGTTTGAAAAGGTGAGTCTTTTTAAGGTTTTAGTGTTTCAGGGCTTGTGTTGCGCAGCGATAGCGCAGCTGGCTCAGAATCTGTGATTTTCCCTCCTGACAGTACGATGTGAACGGAGATGGCAAACCTGGTGGTGGAGGAGAATATGAAGTTCAGGTATTTCCTTTCATGTGTGTGATGGTGTAAAACTAATGTGCTTATATTCACTAGTCCTTCTAATTTCATGCGAAGCCCTGTCAATTCTTTTTACCTCACTTCTGCTTCTTAACTTGAGCACATTTGCATGCCCGTGCACATATACTCTCACTCCTCTTCACTTTGTCATTTTGCATTTTCAAGCTTTCTTATCTATTTTAGGCACAAAGTAATCACTAATTTCAGTTCTTCGTGTTTTTAATCTCTTGATTTTATCGCTGTGTTTTGCTGCTCTTCTAATGTTCTAAATTAAATTAAAAACTGAAAAATATCTCTTATGCTGTGTTGCCCTTTTCTGTAGCTGGGCTTTGGTTGGACCAATGGCGTGGCGTTACAGCTCCTGGACCAGTATGGGGCAACTCTCACCTCAGGAAGCAGACGTGTGTCTTCTGGTCTCCTGCTGCCTTTAGTCATCTCAGCCACTCTCATGCTCCAGTGAATCAGAGGTGACAACTGAGCCTGACAGGAGGCTGGATTTTTATTATTCTCAGTCTCACTGCACTACATCGCTCCCGTCCACTGACGAAACTTCAAGCAAACACAAAATGACGTTAAAAATCAGATATTTTTCTACATCCTGATCAATTTTATTTGCAGAAGGAACAGGATATGATCCTAACTATCATAACTCAGAATTGCTTTGATGAATATTTTAGTATTTATCCTCGGAGGTAGGCTACATCATCTCTGGCGTTATGAGAAGATGCAGATTATTTAGGCACTTCTGGACTCTCTCTAGTAATACAGCCTGTTAGTGCTCACTGCTGCTGCTCGGATCACAACACTAAGTTGTCTCAGATATTGAAGTGACATCACAAAAAGTTATTCACTTAATTCAATTATAAAGTTTATTGCTCTATTGTACCCTAACTCCCACTGAGGCTTTCTGTTTTGCATTGTAAACGAGCTTGTGAAATAAACTCTGAAGTGAAATGCATTAATAATGTTTAAAATGTAGTAGCCTTTATTATATGTGACTCCTCGTGACACTTTTATTCAATTTTTTTGCAAGTCAACTAAAGAGTTTTAGATGGTGTTGGTATTGTAATGTCACATATTAAATCCTGTATAGTGATGAATTCCTGCACAGAGTTATTGATAAGTCTATTTAAAATGCAGTGTTTTGGTCATTTCATCAGGCCTAAATGGTCTTTTACCAAAAATGCAGCAAATTAAAAAAAAAAAAAAAACTTAAAAAAAACCCATAACTCATTAGACAACACTCGATGTAACGCTGCATGTGAAAATTACTTTTGTTCCCTCCCTAGCACAGACTAGACGTATGTGGTGCAAACAAACAGAGAACACAACGTTGGCAACCGCAGTGAAAAATATATTGAGTTTCTTGTGGCTGCTTCAGTTGTAAGCTTTTTAATATTAAACAGCAGCAGTAGGATGTTGAGATTGCATTAGGTGGTAACTTAATGCAGCTCTGACACGGTGTAGGGAGAGTGAAAAATAAACTGTGAGAGTGATATCAATGAGATAAAATTACGCTGGATTACATGCACGTGTCCTTTTGTGTGAATCCCTGGTGCATGTGACAGAAATGTGAATCCAGCATGGGAATGGGAGACTGCTATATAGACACAAAAAATGATGACTAAATACAGTATTATCAAAAATCTTAAGTATTATAAATGAGAATGACCAGATGGTCAGCACCTAATTTTTTACCATTTTGTGAAATGTTCAGCGTTGCACCTAAAGGCCACCACAGTGACACAATTTGACATTTAAAGTTTGACATTATGGGTTATTGTGTTTAGATCAGTGGTTCCCAACCTTTTCCAACTCATGGCCCACTCAAAAATCTCAAACATTGGCGCCTCACATCCTACCCCATAACAGTATAGAGGCCAAATTATGCATTCTCAGAGCACTGTAATGATAACGATTGAACATTCAGGACTAAAATGATGTGACGTCACCCATAGGTTTCTGAAGAGTTGTTTTGGAGCTCAGAGTGAGCTGCTCCACCGTTGCCATCTTGGCAGTACCTTACTCTACCCATTTTTTGATTACCCAGGAGGTAGGCAAAGAGGTGGGGTGTGTGTGAAGCCGAAACTTCGGTTTATGCCAGCTTGTCTCAGGTATAAGCTTACCCACCTGTCACTCAAAGCAGCACGACCTCAATTATGTATGACTTCAAGCCTTAATAAAATTTAAACAGATGAGTTGTATAAGAATTCATCCCCGTACAGTTGTCATGAGGGGGAAATACAGCAGAAAAAAACATTCTTCACAGCCTGTTACAAAAAACAGTCTCAGTCTCTATAGCTAAAGTTGGACATTTTAACATGGGAGTCTATGGGGATTGACTTACTTTTGGAGTCAGCCTCAAGTGGTCATTCGAGGAACTGCAGTTTCTAGCACTTCAGTGTTGGCTTCATTTTTAAGCCCCAGAGGTTGCTGCTTGTTTGGGAACCACTGGTTTAGATGGACCAATACTCTCCCTTCAGTTTGAATTCAGACTCAGGGCTTGTCAGGGCTTGAAAACATGTAAACATTTGATTGTAACTCACACAAAAGGAGCGTTAATTTAAAAAGAAACAAAGACAAGTCAGCAGTTTTTTTTTTTTTTTGTTTTTTTTTTCATTTCTGATTGTTCTGAGGAAGTCATTCTCTCTTTGCCACTTCTGCTTACTTCCATGGTGATGTGCAGGTCAAGCATGAAATTAAGTCCATATAGATATTCAAATGATTGGAAAAAAACAGTGATGAGAAATTTGCTTCTTAAAGGAGAAATTGGATTCCTCTTGGCTGTGAAGATATGAGGCCCAAGCAGGGATTTCACTGCATCTCTCTCTTTAGCCTGAGTGCACACAACAGATTGACTGTGCAACTTAAATGGGCAAAGGACCAATAGGTGCAGCGGCCCGTGCAACCCCGCAGATCACACTCTAGTAATATGCTATTGTGAGCCTCCATCTACAAGTCATATCAGTGGCATTTTTTTTTTTCACCCCCATGCATAACTGTGACACCCATACAGTAGCAGTCGTGTGTGTGATACTGTGTTTAGAGAGGTTTAAGCAGCAAGCAGCAGTCATTATGTTTTCAGCCGTGGATGACAGCAGTAACTCAAGTAGAACCTGCTCCTTTTGATAACTCACACATTACTGAGCCGTTTTAGCAGAAATGTGTTGTGTTCAGTTAATGAGATTGAGCTGTAAAGTGTGGAAGAAGTTGTCCGGCACTTAAGTGGCGATGAGGTGAAAACTGTGCCTTGTTTGTGAAGCGTGGGTACACATTTAATTACATAAATGTGAGTAGGTTATTCTGAGAAGCACGTTCCATGTGCAGCCCATGAATTGTAAAGTGGCGGTGACAAGTGCGTTACATGTTGTTGTGGAAGCAAAGGTCAGGGTCTTGTCTTGTCCTCACCAGTCAGCCAGTAACTGCCACTGCATACAAACTAACATGTAAATTTTTAGTCCTGACAGTGCTTCACATGTTTAATCAAACCCAGAATATCAAGGTTTAGTTTACAGAGAGAAGATGTTTGATGTGGTTAAAGACAGGGGAGTCTTTTTTTATTTATTTATTTTTATTCAGGACACTGTTTAATTTATTCGTGTCTTTAAAATTCTACATGTCTCTACACATCTTCTTTACTGTATGTACATATGACCTCTGGTATGGTAAAAACATATTATTGTGTCTGAGGCTTTCCCTGATTTCCATGATGAGAATAAGATGCAGCATGATTTGCAGAAATGTGTGAAATCTTCTGAAAGAGCAGTGAAAGTGGGGAGAAATGTAGGCTAGCAGGACAATAGAGGTGCATTCTTATCTGTGACTGTGTGTGTTGCTTTAGATGGAGGCCTGCGCTTCATTACTGTTCCCTGGCTCAGCCTTCACTAGCCCCTGTAGCACACATCATAAAGACTGCTCATTATCCACTGAGTCCTCGTGGTGCCGCTGAGTCCCGCGCGATGCTGCAGGAACCCTGCTCCGCACTGCCAGGATAATCCCCCTTCCCCACCCACCCACCCACCCACATCCCCGCAGTCTGTGAAGACCCACAGTGTGGGGATGAGAGAGCCAGAGATGGCTCCTCAGCTACTACTGACTCCCATTCAATATGCTCTAATCAATAACTCATTGAGGGATCATGCCTGTCTCCCTGTGTAATGTATTTGCCTAATTATGACCGCGGCCGCCTCAAAAAATTGCTTTGTCTCTGGCTTAGCAGCTAAATTGTTTGGAGATTTGACCAACTCCTTGACCTCTAAACTGGAAGGATTGGCTAACTGGAGGCGTTATACAGATAGATATGAGATAGCTTAGTAATATTGATTCTGCACTGTCCGGAGATATCAGGCTTTTTATAATCAATAACTCTGGCAGAATCATTGCTATAGAATTTCTCCTGCTTAAGAGGAGATTTTAAAATCCAATCTAAAGGAAGGAGCTATCAGTGAGAGAAAACGCAATATTGTCTCAGCTGATCTGCAACCTTGAACTTGAGACTAGGAGGAACCTCTCGAAAATAAAAAAAAAAACTGTATCAAAAGCAATTCACCTTGCTTATGCAGTTCACAAGGCTCTTGGCTGGCTCTTACCTATTTCTGTTTAATATTGTCAAGTGCCGCTATGGATACATTCTGGCTTTATATTTCTGTCTGTATTTGAAATTTCAGCTGCTTAAAAGACCCTGAAAACGTGGGTTTAAATTGTAAGTATTTTTCTATTACATCAAGTATTTATGACTAAATATGCAACAACTAAAATTCATAAAAGTTAGTTATAAGGAATTTAACATTCAAAAATGCAGCAAATTTGCTTCTTCAGAACTGTTTGGGTGTGATTTGATTAAATGTAATTGACAGCACTCGCAACACAAGCACAACACATCTATCGTCATATTTTTTTATTTCAAATGTAGCTAAAACCTGATTGGTGAACAGAAGTATGAAATACCACATTTCTCCAACTGAGCCTCGCCCACTTTAAACCAACCAGAAGAAGACACACAACAACACAATTAAAGCTTCCTCTGGTGTGAAATAAACAAAACCTTTCGAACTTCTTTTCTAACTGGAATCATATCGTTCAGAATAAGAAAGAAAAGCCACTTTCACATACACCAAAGGCCCTGAGAACCTATTTTCTTTTCTTTATTTATTTGATAGGGGCAATGCAATTTAATATAGTTCCCATACAAAGCATGAAATTGATGTGTTGCACAGAGAATTTATACAGTAGCTATTGCTAATTTTTAACCCTTGTCCCTTTATAGGGCTTTTACATGTTTAGTTTAATTAAAACACAGTTTTTATTATCATACAACCAGAATACACTACAGATATGAAAGTAGAGTAAAATACTATATTGAAATGCATTGATTGTTATGTATAGTAAGAGACGCATACAACAGCAAAAACAACACAAAAGAGATGACACAATTGACAATATCATACAATTAGCTAAAATATACGGATTTACAGTCTAAAAAGAGAACAATAGTGCCACAGGCAGACAGATGGTCAAACAAAAACAATGAACAATAGATTCTAGTTACCTAGAAATGGATACAACTATGGTTTGCTTTTTTCCAGCACTAAACTTTGTTGTAAAGGAATTTATATCTGGCGTTCATTTGATTTCACTTGTTAATGCCCTTTCTTTGAATCCCACTTCATTTGAAAATTAAGTGAATGTACATTAAAATAAGAAATCAATTTATACAAAAATAAATGAATGAAAAGGCTCAACAAACCTTTATTGCACAGCTGCTGTGTTTGTGTTTCAACCAATTTCCTCCGTCAGACAAACCCATTTTAACCAAAACCATCCCGTCATCTCAGCAGGATAAACTCAGGTTTCTTTTTCTAATTTCTTTTTTTTAAAATCCATAATATTTAGGACTCTTGCCCGAACGTGCCTCTGTGAGGCAGCAGAGCTCTTTGTCGTTTTGGATGACATGCTTTGTTTTCCTGGTCATGCCATTTCGTTCTGGCGGGCATACAATCAATATGGACACCACAAAAGCCCATCAGCCATTTGCAGCGTGGCACAGTGTCCTTGCCTGCTGATGGAAGGCTCTTACCAGACACTTTACATTGTTAAAGAAAAAAAAACTAATCATATACTCTGACTTTGTCTTGGAAGATGTTTTT